CCCCCCCAAATCAAGCTGAACTGCCCCAGCCCCAGTAAAAAACATAGTTTATGTGAAATAGTTCTTTTTTTGCCAGAAAAAGAAAATCTGCGTACAGTTCTGTCTCATATGGGTGTTGAGAGATGTATCCATAGATCTCTTAATGTTGCTCTCAAAGTGCACCAGATTGATGACTGCTTTTAACTTCAATATTAAGAACAGAAATTATCTTCCCGGGGGAGCATGCCGCCCGGACCCCCTTGGGATGTTAGGTCCACCCCGCTTAAAGAGCAACTTTGCCACGATTAGAGACACCAGTTAATAAATGGGTGTAGCGAAAATGATGCAATAGGGGCAACGTAAGATTTTCCCAAATATACCGAGGGAATATACCACCTACGAGTAGACATTGGCGTCGTCTAGTAAGACATTTTCACTTCCGCATAAAAACAGCCTGCCGCACGTGAGCCTCCCGCGTGGGGACGTACATAGGGGAAACAAGGGGGAGAGCGGCCGTTTAACGATGAATAAACATGGATCACAATGCTAGTTTTTGACACAGAAGAGGGTTCAAAATATATACTTGACGAAATGCATATGATTATAATTATGAGCCTGCCTAGGCGTCCGAAGAGACCTAGGAGCAGCCAAGGATTAGAAAAGATAAACGGCATCGGAGAGAAATGGAAGCTTTGCCTGTGTGGAGAACCAGTGGAGAAACAGGCGCTGTCTTGGTGGAGTGAACCGCGTTACCATGTTAGCTACGTCAGATCACATCACCAACATTGTTAGTTAGCCAATGCATATATCAGGCTAGTAAAACCCTAAGTAGTATTGATAATATAGTAACGTTACTGGCAGGACTGATTGGAATACTGGATCCATAAAGAAACTAATGCGCAAGCTATCAGCCGTGTAATCATCGCGTTACCTTAATGCCAACTCTACACTAACGGTGCTGACCGGAGGGGAGACGCGAGATACGGCTGATACTTGACGATCTGGCGAGAAAGGTTTGTGGAGCCTCCCGTTGATATGCCGTTGTAATGGCTTGAACTGAAAGCAGGTGCCTGCTAGTCCGGGGAGGGTGCACAGCTGATTGCAGCAGGTGGAGTGGAACCGGTTGAGCGGGAAGCCAAGGAGTGACAGCCACCACGACCACACAAACAACACAGCAGGAGGGAAACAAACAAACACAAAGGAGACGGCTGGAGCAGTACAGCCACCACCAAGCGTTACCTTGCAACTCCAAACTACGTCTTACGGGGTGCCGTGTACCGGAGGGGAGAGAGACGCAGCGAAGGGGGGAGAGAGAGAGCACCCAAAATCCTTCAAATGACCATAGTGGAGGGTAGGAACGAAAATGACGCGGTAGAACCGGAGAGCTTTGCCTTCTGGCTCAGCTCCCTTTTCGTCACAACGGTGCGGTAAAGAGACTGGCAGTACCGCTCCCGCTGCTC